CACTAATGTTGGTCAATCGACGAACGTTACAGACGATCAACAAGCACACACACAGTATGCTTAAATGCGCAATCACTTAGTCGACCGCTACATCCTCGCCTGGAGGGTAGTTACCGGGCTGATTTTGGAAACTGTGGACTTTGTAACTTCAACACACATGTGACTTCAGAACTATTACACAAATATGCTGGTGGTGAACCAACTTGCGGTAGCTTAACTCTAGCAGAATCGAGCGGATGAAACCAATTCAATCGGGGAAAAACTCACAATGTATGTTGGCTGGCTTTTCTTCTCGAATCACCCGAGGTTATACCAAAAGTTGAAGTAAACTCTTGTGCATATTGGCCTCGTCCTATCGTTTCGTGCTAATTCTGCCCTGTTCGACATTGAGTCTAACTCAGAACTGTGCTGTATAGGTGACATCGGTCTATTTCCTGAGAACAACAGCCGGAATCATGGTATACTTCAGGTTTGCATCCTTCGGACGCCATCATCAAGTAAAGTCCGCAACTTCAATCTTCTGCGGTTCTGAAGGGCTGTATCTACGTTAGTGGAGTAACGCATGCTAAATGATAATCTGCGAGGAGAAAATAAGATATCAGACAAGTGTCATGTGCGCAACATCAGCATGAGACGTTTTGCAGATATTTTTGCACCAACTAGCTCAGCAGCGAATTGACTGTCTGCTTTTGAAAAGTCTCAGGGTAGCTAACTACATCGACCCGACAGCGAAATTACCACTGTATCAATGTTCGCTACCAACCTGAGAGAGAGAGAATGAGAATATTCGCACTGAAATCATTTTGAGAATTAGATCTGTTTTAATCAACCGAATCAAGGTCAATACAACTTGGAGATGGTTGAATACTGAAGCCCACAACTGTGGATGCATTTCTGAAAATATATTGTCCGAAGTAGCCATCAAGAACCAATCATCAAGCCACCAAGAACCTTCAAAAGTCACTAGTGACATCAATCTGTAAATGATTCATCGTCCAAAATCAAACCTAAACACACTATCTACACACAGTCTCTAGCCTAACAGTTGAAATCGAAAGTAAGAGAATAAGCCGTGCCTGCGACCGTCACTCGCGCTTGGATTCGTCAAGAAATACCTACACCCATCATTTTTCAATATCAGTTTCACTCCCAACAGAAGGGAATAGGTGATCCTATGCACAGACGAACTGGAGAAATGTTTCGTTAACAAAACAATTTGAAAAACGCATTATTCTAGAGCGACTTCCGCATTGTTCATGCGACAAAACTCAGTCGAATGGGTACCAGAGTAGTTCTTCACCCGCCCTGGCACTATTCCTCTAATCTGCACGAAATTAATGGAGAAATGCGTTCAAGGGTCACTCACATCAGCACTGCATGTCCTTGGGGTTTGAAATCCGGAGAGTTGGTATGACCAGCACTGGCTTCCAATGTTTCATGAGCACACGGTGAAACCACTTGAATTACTGCGTAGTACTAAATGGATGTACTGACAGTTGTACAGAGGGATTGGTCTCCCAGAGCCTAGAATCAGAATCCAGCAAGTGTAATGATATTGTGGATCGACTGACCCACTTGTTGAGACTTCAACCAAACCGGTTCAAAGCTTGACCTACAAATTGCGCTCGTTAAGCTCGGCCGTACGTTCGATCAAGACGCCGGCTGATCATGGTTGTAACAGCGCCATTATTTTGGCACAGTATCAACATATAGGTCAGCAATAACCCTGGGTAGCCCAAGACATTAAGCACTACATATGACAGCAAATCTGGTTGGCCTGAAAAGCTAGCTGCGGTAAGTTTCATCCTTATTGGAGCTAACTAGGTGGATCTAGCAGGATCGATTGCGTGTCACAATATGTAGCATGTTTCACTATCTAATCATAGCGCTAACCAGCACCAACCAAATGTTCGTACGTAAAGGAAATGAGTTGCACCGATTTATTATTTGGCTGGATAGTGAGGGTCACGAAAATCTGCCATATCCACCAATAGGTCACATTTCTAGGCGAAGTGATTAAATCATCCATCTCAGTTCACATGCACCGTGCGGACACGTGTGGTTTGTGGCTAGGTGGTGCTGCACTGAAGGATGAAAGTCGCTGATCCAAGGACAAACAAATGAATCCGCTACATCTAACCGATCAGGTCAAGCTGGACATAAGGGGCAGTGAGTGGTTACTCAGACCATCTTTAATTCCGAGGCCCATTTTCTTGTACTTATTTGGTACTTAAAACAATGATCGAGACACCTTGGGGTAGGCGTTTGCAGGTTTGACTGGCCGTTGACTTGACTGAAAATGCGTTTTCATGTGAACTACTGGCTGATTTGCGTAAGTAGACAGTATTTATCGCACTGAAATTGACCTGGTCGACAAAATCGATTGACAGTTCAATCATCGCGGCTGTCAGCTGTTTCATTTAAACTGAGCTACAGATTCCTATGCGTAACCCTTGATAAAAATCTATGTAACAGAATTATATGAACCTGGCAGCATGACATTTTTTCACCACTGCCTTTCAACTGACTGCTGCCAATTCGCTAGTTTGCTACCGCAAGGGACGAGAAGCACTGTGGGCCATCGAATGGTTTCATATACTGGACGAAGGCCCAGTTCGAAATGACCATACTCTTTCACGTTTTCGTCAATCTATAAGTAGCCTAGTGGAGGAATGATTTCAGACCACATCTTCAGAATTGCGCATCTCTGGCAGCATCACCAACGACATCATCATTTTGTTCCCACGATCATTGACTTTTCGCCCGGACATGTCCGTCTACATTCTCGTTGGGGATTTAGGCGTGGTAATTTATTCTCAGCTACTTCAGATCTACTACTGTACATCGTAACCGCACTATGGCCCATCCTTTGACTTGCCATATCCGTTAAAGGGAGGAAGACAGTCATTTTATGGCGGTGTGAAAACGAAGTAATATTCTACGGAAAGCATCGATTGAATGAGCGATATGCTTCCATACATTCACTGAACGAAGCAAAGACACAGGCGCACAAGAGGTGACGCTGCACAAGGTCTGCGCTAAGCCACAAGGGCACCCAACTGAACGCCATGTGTCCGGTATCAAACAGGGAAAATAGGGAAGGGATTGAACAGACGTGGTCACTTATGAATCATACTTATCATACTCGACTGCTAGCCCGTAATAATGGTTGACATTGCGACTGAACATTTGAGTCCTACGCTGTATGCAAAGAGGCACCCAGTAGCTCGCACAACTTAGTAGGCGCATTCTATGGACATCCACATGGTTGGCGACACTCAGCAGGATTCGCACATAAGCGTATAGATAAATATTGAGTTCCAAAGGTCTGTTTTGATTAACGTTTCTCAATGAAGATAGTCTGTAATGCAGTCAAGTGTTTTGTTCATCGCAAGCAAAATTTTGAGAACCAGGATTGGAAAGATTGTCAGACAGCGTCTAAAACGCGAAACGCCTTACAAGAGCTTTGCCATTCTTCGGAAAATTCTTTTGAAAATTCACCGGAAGAGTAAACAATATAACCAGCGCGACAAGCGTTGTTACTCTTTCGAATCTGAAGTCTTGGAGTGAATGGCTTTCGTCACTTCCCACCCACACTGCCCGCAATTTGCACTGATACAGCGAACATCAAAATATTCTATCCTCCTGTGGGAACTAACTGTCAAGACTTGATTTAATATAAAAAGTCCACTTTGCTTACAGACTGTTCATTAACCTAGAAAATAGGGCCAGATAGACCGATGTGTGGTTCACGTGTCAACGTGATTCGACTACTTGTTCGGAGTTCAGCGTCTTACTCATCGGTCCAATAGTATGTTTCGTGGGCCCCGAAAGTTCCTCGTCCCTTCGGGGTAGGGGTGTCGAATGTGTCGTCTCTGCAGTAAAGCGGTTTGTCATTGACGTCAATTTAATACCATTGGTCTTTAACTAATTTTATTCCTCCATTCATAATGAAGTGGATTCCTTCACAACTTACATGTGTTCCTTTAACGATATGAAAAAATAGATATTTCATTTTTCAAGACAGAAAAGGTCCTCGTTAACATTTCAGAAATCTACCACAGCTGATGTGTGCGATGTCAACAATTTGCTGTGCTATGCGAAACCCTTAAAGAGAAAAACAACTTGGGTCACTGAGTGTAGGTCACGCACCAAAAAGCTACATAAACATTTGAGACACACTGCACATCATCACCATTATCAATATGACCTATTAATACCACGCTCTCAGCACAACGCGTGGCAGACCAGTTATATGGGTTGAAACGTCAATAATTTTACTAGAAGAAAACAAAAACTATAGATAAAGACGATGGCAGAGAATATTGAACGGATAGGTCAGCTGAATACATGTACACAGCTTACAAGAGAACAGCGACCGGGAGATCAGTGCTTTCCTAAGAATCTCTGTACGATGCGGAGCCCACGGAAATTGTACTGGTGTCTCTATTTTATCCAGGGAAGATTCTCGTTCTTTCCTTGGATGAACTGTATCCAAAACGAGCGATTGATGTGTATTTCTACCAGCATGGATCTAAGATCGAAGATAACAGAATAACCGGAAAAACCCTAGTAACCACAAGAATCTGCTCCGCGGTCATCGGATCTGATTCCACTGGGATTTCGCATCAGGTTAAGTGAATCAAGTACTGCCCCTAAACCTTTTGGAATTAAAAATTTAAACCATGGATGCTGTTTAAATTTTCTTAGGATCCAGATTTAACTGGTGTCTACGTAAACCCACATCGTTGGAAGGAATATTTGTTAGTTCCCCGGGTAACCAATCCTCGATCTATCTCCGGTAAAGTAGATGACAATGGTCAGTGAAACGGAGCGGAATAAGTATATAGATTTGGTAGAATTTGAGCGATCCCCGTATCTGTTCAAGAAAGGTTATGTCGATTCTCACCTAGCACTCCAACTGGATCCAAAATCACGGGTTTTGACGGCATTATTATCTACTACATCAATAGCTTCTTACTTACTTAGTCTAAAATCACTCTGTCGCCAATCACATGTTTGTATTTGGTGTTGTGTAACGGCGAGAATTTCTGGTCAGCCAATACAAACGGTCTTCACTCAACAAAAGCAACAAGTACACGTGATTCAGCAGGGGATAAGAACGAAGACAGTTGAAGTAAAAGGGACATAAGCGGCGTTCCATCGCTCAACTACACTACGAACGATAACCACAGGTGATCACATTGTCAAAAGAAACGATAGCCTATTGTTCAAAGTAAGAATTCATGCGTCAAGATCTTAGCGTAGAAATGCAAGGAGTGCTAGACATGCTCAAGAACGATAGCAACTCATAAATGAAATTAAGTGGAAGTGAAGGGGTCGAAAGCTCAATGTATCGTTTCATTTGGACACACAAAAATGCGCTTTATTCTATCTCAGGCCAAAAGGCCGGTGGATACTGGATGAGTGTATCCAGAGACTCCACATTTCCGTGTTCTAAATCTCCAGATGAATCTGGACAGCAGAAGTATGGCCACAACAGCAATAACTGTAATCACCACAGAAACTGCGACGACCGTAGTAAGATCTCTTGACGTGCTGTCTTCCCATTCGACCGATCTGTGGAAGAGATGGGAAAAAGCAAAGGATCGATGGATGAAACATCGTACGGAAACTGTCACAGTAAGCAACCAAATGAAAGCAGAATTCGCAACAAAAAAACAAGCCAAACTGGGTCGCATAGTGCAACAACAGAATAATGAATCCGAAATACCTTTAATTAATGGGACTTGACCACTCAAGGGCTTGTAACGCTTGAGTTTTCTGAATACATTCAAAAACGTGTGGCGGTTACCAGAGTGATCGAATAATATATAGCAACAGGAAAGCAAGGGTGAACCATAAAGGATGAGTTTCAGGGAAAAGTGCGGAATTGCGGATATGCAATGGAGGAACTCATTGAGCCGCGAAAAATTTTGCAGGCATTAAAGGTGCCAGTCTGGAACGAAGGTGCTGTCTTCTCGTCCGTGATGGGTGATGCATGACAGTGTGCTTACAACGTTCGCTCCGTAAATGTGCATCTAAGAGTGAATATGAAGAACGTCATTCTATGGTGGTAAAAATCTGTCCAGTTAACAACATTTCACAGCAGTCGGATACAGTGACCGGCAAACTATAGGCAACTAGAAATTAGTTAGCAAGAAAACGTGGACTGGCCGGTGTGCATGCACCAGCATTTTTTCTGCGTGGTGCAAAGAACACGCAAAGCCCACAGCAAATAGTATATAATTTTACACGCAACGGAAAACTGGTAACTGACAAATTCAATCTTGAGACCATAAATGTGGGATCTTCCTGGGAGATAGGAAAACAAAATACTGTATAAAACCTGAGATAACCAATTTCTACCTACTTCAAGACCTTGCGCTTCAACATCATCAGTGTCACTAGCACACGGAAGACGCAGTTCGCATTTTGTAGGTGTCGGCACACAAGTAGGAGCGCCTGACTTAAATGCACGACCTTCCTTGCGATGGGACGTCCAGCTGGTGCGGAGAGCTGTCAAAAGTGGGCTGGCCATTGCTAGCTAGGTTGGCTAGGTTGAACATACGGTTTCCCGACGCACCAGAATGTAATGAATGGCATTTGCTAAATAAGAGACATTCTTGGAATATTATAGGAAAACTATTAGTGGTTGGTACGGGCAAAATGCATTCCAGTCCGACCACACGTCGTGATCTTTTTTTTGTTGAAACTTGAGTTGCTTCTCATGTGGCATCCTCTGATGGATTGTGGTGCAATCCAGCACAAGGTTTCAGCTTTTCCGAATAACTACATTACCAAGTACCGAGCGTCTGAGGCGACAAATGAAATCAGTTGTTAAGAAAATATGATTCCTTGATTGTTGCCCTCACGGTTAACTGTGTTAGCCAAATTAATAAGTTCTGGTATTCAAAGATCTGTTAGAACAACATAGAAAATCATCAGAACCACGGTGAAAAGAACAGAATGGATTGTAAATTCGTTCTCAAATTGAACATCCAGAAGTAGAGAAAATCAGTGCGTTTCCTAAGATGTAATAAATTTCTGCGACCACCCAATAAAAGAGAGTATGAAGATGACGTGGTGAAGCGGTGCACAAACTCCCAAGTGGTGGTCAAAAAGAGAGAAAGTGAGCAACACAAGTTTTGCCATTCTAGTACAAAACAAACCAAATGAAATTTTTAAAAAACGGATAAAATGGGGATTTTTCTTGATTTCAGTTCACTGGAATCCTCTGAAAGGAATGAAATTGGAGAATCTTTTGGTTGGAAGACGATTTATATTAATTAACTGCAATTTATGTGGAGAATCTATGAGCTCCATGAAAGTCTACAGCACTCTCAGTAACAATTAAGTGCGAGGATTAGGATTTGCACACACTGACACCCGTTACACAACATTCACTGTCTCAGTATTTCTTATATCGTCGCTGGATGGCGTTACGATACGGTACGGCTGGTCACAGAGTTGTGTACATATTCTGGAAGGCTGGTTGAGAAACATACCACCATAGCAGTGACAGCGAGGAAGAACGGGCAAACACAGATGACGAAGATACCTGATGCAAAGGGTCACCGGCACCGTACGAAAATTCGTTGATGTGATCTGCTACATAAAACAACTCGACACATCATAATTGAATATACCTGCTAGCAAGGCGAATCACACTGGTGAACGTCCCAAACCTATAACACTACAGTGAAACCAAAATACGTTACTCAGGTATGTGTCCATTCTTTCGTCAATTCCACACAGGTTCGGAGAATAGAGGTATTATTCTGATGAACGTAGAACGAAGACGGATATGTCTGCATGAAATTATCTACTCTAGGGATGAAAAATCTTTAGGAAACGATTCGGAAGTTTGTAAATCACACATGTTGAACACGGTGACATTCACGTGGAACGTGACGCTGTTCTGTTCATAAACCGAAGGAGTTTGATCAAACGTACCTTCGTTTCGGTCATTCGTATGATGTCAAGCAAAACATAACGCAGAAAATAGAGCAGCACACAATTTGACGGACAATATTATGGTGTCACTACAACAGCTGCATGCATAAAGAACATTTTAGAGATCTACACTGTCCTGAGACAAGTCCGTGTTATTTTGTAGGACCTAGGCGGTCTAACGCACTATTTTACCAATCGTGCTCATACATATGACCTGTTTACGGTCAAACTGAACTCGAATGGTAGGGACCATCAAAAAAATCTTATCAACGTACTAAAATTATCACTCATGGATTACGCGCTTCAGTATCGAATTAGTGTTTAATGAGCACCCCAAAATGCTTGTCAATAATGTGCTTATCCAAAACTCACCCTCTTAATTTCAGGAAGGATAAGGGAAGCGCCGCGGTGACCCAGGACGTGGGTTTATAATGATCTACTAGAAAAGCAAACAGAACAGTTTTAGTTTTTTCTGTTTTGCCGAGAATGTATTTTTCATCGTTTTCTGGGTCGCGTGACCAGCATGCTGGGCATACATCTCGTGGTGGATACTGGACCTTTTTGGCCATTGGATCTTCGGTAATGTCTCCGGAAAGACGCTTGTTGACCCGATTGTGTACTGCATTCAGCCAGAGAACTTCCTCAAAAGCAGTCGTCGGTGCTGCAGGAAGTTGGCTCAGGATGGATTCGTCCCAGTTGAATTCGGAAGGCTTTAGACGGTGTTCCGGAAAGCGAGGTTCATCTGGTCGAGCAATATTTGCAGAGTTTGCTGCGAAATGAAATGCGCATATGGTGCAAGAGAAGAACCTGGGGATGAAACGATTCATCGCATGTGCCACCGCGTCTCCCGCCAGATCTACAAGGGGCAACCAAAATACCATAGAGAACTCCACTGAGATAGGAAAACTGCATCAGAAAGCGCTGCTTACGGAACGGGCCAGAAGAAACCGAAATGGTGGGGGAACTGATCATATGATTATCTAATTCACCAAACTTATACTCACAGGAAAGACAATTCAGACCATAGCTTAAAATTGCAAAAAAAAACTTTCGAAATATTCGTAGTTCGATCTTGCTAATCACAAGCTCGTGCACGATAGACACAACCTAAGGTGATGGAAGCTGTATTAGTTCCGACTGTAGTGTGACAGATGAAGTCAATGAAAGGCTCGGGTCACATTTCTTAATTTGACACCTATGGTGTTTATGAACCTACACTACGGGCTGTTACACAGCTCTGAGACTCGGTCTGTTGGAGCAGAGGAACCGAGACGTCTTCAGATCTTCAACAACAGTTGCCTCAGAACCATAGTTTGAGTAGGTTGGTGTCGGCGAATCCCCAACGATGCGACAAGAAAACAAGTTTCCGGTTGCGCAACGGGGACATCCGCTGACTAATATGTCCAGCAGCAGAAGCTGTGTTGGTTGGGCCATTGCGTATGCCGAAACATCGTTTACTGAAGAGAGCGCTAAGCACAGTGGTGGCCAACCTTCGACCCGGCAGGATGGTATGAAATAGATCACGAAAAGTCAGGGTGCTGTTGGCGCCTGTCACCTTCCAGGATGGGGACTGCGTAAACTCCACTAAGCCCGGTTGGAAACGCTCAAGATATGGCTGGAAATCGATGTCAGTTGCGTTCTTGTGGCCAGTTTCTGTCCAGGTTGTTGTTGCCTGAATGAGTATCTGGGGATGTGGGCACCTCGAAGTGATGGTGTTGGGCTTGTACCAAATACCTTCCCCATCCAACTTTATTTTTCCTAAAATAAGGCATTCAAATAAATCATGATTGTGTGTCAGCGAAGCATCAGTGCTGAGCATTGATGTCATGATGTTGATTATCATGGTGATGGTTATCATTCCACATTGGCGTGCGTGCGAGTACGCCTGTAGAAGCCATATAACGTGCACAGACGCGAATCAGCCCGTCAAATGTTCATGCCAACGCCACTTTAATGACCACCTTGTAAAGTTATCTGTCAGGGGGCGTTAGCGGAGTGAATAAAAAGGGTCACTGAAATAGATGGTCTGGCAGTGCAACTCCCCCGAAAAAAAGGTGGCTCCTGGACGTGCTTTTCGAGCTTGAGTGCTGCAATGATCCCGAAGCCTACAATGGATGGAAACTCGTTCCACAATTTGCAACCGTACCAGGAAGACCAAGAGTTGTTAGACCCCCGTACTACGAGACCGTCTAGAGGTAAAGTCATATTGTCCTTTGCGATAGGTGTGTAAGCAGTAAGATGCTCACCACAGGCGACCAGCACGTCCATATTCATGGAAACAGCAGTGCTGCTTTCCCCCGAGGAAGGACAGGTCAGAAAAGTTCAGCCCTAAACATCGCACATTCCGATCGTCCAGTGGTTGAAAGTTACCACTGGCACGTTATTCAACACGCTCGAAATACTTTCAAAAGCAGAGTCCGTGCTGCTCAAAATGAACGTGTTGTGAGCAGCTACATCGGGAACAAGACGGCAACGCCCAACCTAGGTCAACATCTTGCAGTCGAGCAGGTCAGATTATTGAGTAATCGGCACCAGACAGGGTACCCTACTGTCCGCTGCCTCGCGGATCAGATGTTTTAGTATTAGACAAGGGATAGGATCCCCGAAAAAAACTCTACATCCTCGCACTGCCTTGTGGGTAAAACCTGAGTGAAAGGCTCAAGGTGGGGTACCACAACCAAACCCCTTCCTCGGACTGAGCAATCGGGAAGCAGCAACTGATACGATCGGTCAGAGAAAAGATAAGTGAAAAAGGCGGTTCATTAATTCACTCGCAAAAACGTCGACCAAAAAGCTGGGCTGAACACTCCGAAGAACAATTAAGCTGGACTCCTGTAACACAACCTGTGGAAATACTGCATAACTGCGGATGGAATGTAAACCATAATCGCCGGTCGAAAGAAAAAATGAAGTACGAGCTATCCGTACTACAGCGTGAAAAGGCACCAAGACCGGAGGGTCTATATCCAACCCACTTCAAAGGCTGAGAATCTCCGGTGATACATCTAACAAAGCTCACCGGTGCGATATGGAGTGCAGAATGGACATTCAGACAGCTATTGCTATGTTCAAAAAGGTAAGCGAACGCTGTATGAAAACCGCCGTGACATCAACCTGGAAGCTGAAGCATCAAAGGTGCTCTCTGATCCTATACTGATTGAAGATAGAGACAGATTAGTGAAAACTAAGCTGGGTTCCGTCCTGAGGATGCATGTGCGATATGGAGTGCAGAATGGACATTCAGACAGCTATTGCTATGTTCAAAAAGGTAAGCGAACGCTGTATGAAAACCGCCGTGACATCAACCTGGAAGCTGAAGCATCAAAGGTGCTCTCTGATCCTATACTGATTGAAGATAGAGACAGATTAGTGAAAACTAAGCTGGGTTCCGTCCTGCAAGAGGATGCATCGATCACATATGCACTTTCCGACAGATTCTGGAACGGCGATACTGTTTCCAGCAAGCAACAATTGTTGTGTTACTTGACTTGAAAGCTACGTTGAACTCTGTAGACAATCAAGCACTATGGTAGTATCTGTGGAGCACACCTCTCCCGCATAAATTCTTGACCCTGCTAAAGGCGCTGTGTGCCAACTCCCGCGGCCATGTGAAGGTCTACGGTAAGCTCTCGCCTGAATTTACCTCGTCAAGTGATGTCAGGTAAGGCTGTCTTCTTTCACTTTTCGATTCCAGCTGTTATATCTTCTGATTCGTCAATCTGTGGTATCTGCTGCTGACCCGCTCCAGTGCCTAGTGTCGGAGAGAAAAGATTCACAGAAGGGAACACAGCAGCTTTATTCCGAACAAGCGAGTGAGTGAGAGTGTAAACGTTACAACGGCCCCACGCTATTTAAGGGGGACTTTCTGACATTGATCCAGGCTGTCTGATAGGCGTTAGTGATCACCCATCAACATCGATCGTGCCTCTGTGAAAAGCTTGAACGCTGATCACATTCGGTCGTGCTTCTGTGGCTCGCAAGAACATTCATCAGGCTTTGCTGAATTGATTGAATGATTGACTGGCCTGGATGCTTGCCGGCTTTCCAGTTGAGTTTTTGCTGAAGCAGTATGTTCCGGGCGTTCCGAAGTTGCTTTCAGGAATCTGACCTTCCTGATACCAGCTTCGTCATTGATACGATTATGGAACACTCATCAGCCTCCAATGTCTGTAGGTCGAAGTGCTCCCGGGGCGTTCGCCCATGGATATCCGGTACGCAGACGACATGGATCTTATTGGATCTGATACCTTGGTAATGCAAAACAATGTTAAATAATCTAAATAGTTTTGCCTAACATTTTGGCATGCGCTCCACACCTGCAAGAACACTGCAAGACTGGGTGGGCTCGAACACTAACCTATTGCTCGCGGATGAGCCGACTGAGATTGCAGGCAAATTTATCTATCTGGGCATATGTATCTGTCCTGGTTGTTCAACAAAAGATGGTATTTCCATTCAGAGGGAATGGCCAGCGCAACTTTCGTGAACCTGAATCACCTGTGGCGTCGGTGTGACATCAGAATGTCCATCAAGGGTCGAGTTTACAAGGCTGCAGTGCACTCCATATTATTATACGGGTCAGAACCCTGGCCGCAGTACACTGAAGACGACAGAAGACTTTCACTGTATGACCATCGACGTCTTCAGAATATTGCCCGAATCTGCTTGAAACACAAAATCCGACATGCTGAAGTGCGTCGAGTGGTTTATGGAAGAAATAACTGGTCTACTATAGATGAACTGATCACACTCCTATATATACCTTAATACAGTCGTTTCAATTAATTTTGTATCAGTACCCGGTTCTTTTGCCGGAGGTGATTCCTTCAAATGTACCAGTGCACAGCGCAGAGCGCTTCCCGTTTGTACAGCTACCGTTATCCGTGTTTATAATCCTTCCAATGACCAATATCCATGTTTATTTGGAATAACAGCAGTGCACCTCCCACAGACGGCCAGGGAACTTCACACAAGACGCGGAGAGCATAGGAGAAAAATAGACAGGCCGCCGAGAAACGCAGATGAATATCGAGCGTCAGTGAAAGACTCGGCAACTGCGGAACATGCATTAAGCACGGGACAAAATATATCTAGAAAATGTTGAGATTTTGAGGTGAGGACTACGGTCCACGTTAGAGAGACTGATAGCCGATGCGGTAGAAATCACCATGCATCCCAGTGTTAACAGAATAGAAGGCATGGAACTGGCAAGCGTGTGGAGAACGGTTTTGGATCAGTCAAGCTGACCCGTGTTGGTGTGCGGTTGTTAGGATTAGTCATCATCTGAACTCCACTTAACCTCACCCAGTTTCCTTCCTCCCAACTAAATTGTCGCAACACTCACAAGTTCACAACGACCAACGAAATCTGCCAGTGGCACCCGCGGTGGGTCATCAGTTGAGGCACCCTAAAGTGGAAGATTAAGGAACCAGACCCGATCGGAACTAAGTTGAAACTCCCTGAACCCATCAACGCAAGATCTTGGCAACCACAATAACCGACAAGAGCCGTTCATCGACACTCAACACTATCTATTGCGCAAGTATGAAGACGTCTTATTGACTGGTTCTCTGTCTGTCTTAAAATCTCGCCAAATTGGTGACCTGATGAAGATTTGGTGTCATGTGGGAAACGCTGCTCAAATGAATACACCTGTTTATCATTTTTCGAACCGCCATAAGTGATTCGCACTTCAGATGATTACATGTGGATGCGTTGTAGGTACGGAAGGGCTGTATTAACAAACTAAAGTCAGGATGTAGTTCTTTAGGAGAATATTGGCATACATGTGCCGAGCTTCTTCAGGTTTTAGCTACATGATTTCATCTAAACCCGAGTAAGAAAGTGACTTTAGCC